CAAACCATCTCTGAGTTGGCCAGGTACATGTAGACAACCATGGATTGCCCTATTTGAAGGCTATTTCAATTTTTAATGGCTGTTGGGAGCCAACCTTATACTGAATTAAGGAAAGTGCACCTAAATTGCAACCACATTCGCAATCAGTGCAGAGCCAACAGAACAAGTTCACAAACAAGTTTCAAGCTTCAAGGAAGAGTGTACAATGTCATATAATGAGTGAAAAGACAAAACAAAGCAAAAAGTGGTGTCAAATTCCCAATCATGTAGGTTGGGAGCTTGTTCCACCTCAGAATTTTTAAACAAAGGATGTAGCTGTTATACTGGATATATACAAATGAACAACATGGACATCAAGATGGAACAGGTGCTCAAAATTGATCTATTGCAATTTGGTTAACCTAAATGTGACAACTTCAATCAGAAATAACTAACAACACATAACTGAAGGCACTATGAAATGTCATCAATGAGAGATGGCCTGATGTGTAAAATGAGGCATTGGACACTCTCAGATGGTTTTGGCCTTACACATTTGAGCGCAGTTTTTTGAGGGGTGTTACTTTCAAAGGAAAAAAAGTATATATAGAGTCATACAGTACAGAAACAGACCCTTCGGTCCAACTTGTCTATGTCCACCAAGTTTCCCAAACAAAACTAGTCCCATTTTCCTGTGCTTGGTCAAAATCCCTCTAAATGTTGCCTATACATGTACCTGTCCAAACGTCTTTTAAATGTTGCTGCATCTACCACTTCCTCGGGCAGTTCATTCCACACACGAACCACCCTCTGTGTGAAAACATTGCCCCTCAGGTCCCTTTTAAATCTTGCTCCTCTCATTTTAAAAACATGCCTCTAGTTTTGAACTCTCCAGCCCTAGAGGAATGATCTTTGCTATTCACCCTATCTATGCCCCTCATGATTTTATAAACCTCTATAAGGTCACCTCTCAACCTCCTACACTCCAGCAAAAAAAGTCTCAGCCTATTCAGCCTCTCCTTATAACTCAAATCCTCCAGTCATGGCATGATGCTGGTAAATCTTTTCTGAACCCTCTCCAATTTAATAATATTCTTCCTACAGCAGGGTGACATGAATTGTACACAGTACTCCAAAAATGGCCTCACCAACATTCTGTACAAACTCAACATGACATCCCAACTCCTGTACTCAATGGTCTGAGCAGCAAAAGCAAGCATGCTAAATACCTTCTTAATCACCCTGTCTACCTGAGATGCAACTTACAAAGAACTATGTAGTGGAACCTCTTAATCTCTCTGTTCGACAAGACTATCGACGGCCCTACCATTAACTCTCAAGTCCTGTGGTGGCTGAAGCTCTCCACCAAGCCATACTATTACAACTTCACCGAGGACATATGGGTGTAGAGTAGCACATGATATGATCTATTGGTTAGGAACTAATGTTGACATCAAAACATTAATAAGGATGTATGAGGCATATCAGATTTATTACTCGATGTTAACAACCTCTATACTTGCACAAGATTCTGTTGTCCCCTTCACCCAAAATCACTACTGATTTGATACAATCAACGGAGCTGACTTTATCTTCATTATCTCTTTTTCTCCAATTTTCCAAATGTCATACCAGCAAGGAATACTTCACATCTGTGGCAGGCACACTGAGTACTGTGTACAGTCTGTTTGGTTCACCTAAAGAAATCATTTCTGATGATGGGAAAGCAGACAGGCAGAGCTTTTAGGGATCTATTGCCATATGGGACTTTATCCATGTGAT